ATCTATCTATCATGCTACTAGTCTAATCTATCTCATGCTATGTATAGTAGTTAGTATGCTACTATTATGTCTATAATATTTATCTATAGTATAGTATATAGAGAGAAGGAGGATGAGGAGAGAGGAGGTAGAGAGAGACAGAGAAGAGTTAATTGATACTTCTCGATGGAAACGTTGAGCCGAGTCACTTGGCATCACTAACTCGCAGCGTGACAACAGCGGTGCGCAAGTGACTATTGACCAGCGAATGGTCTGAAATGATATCGTTTTGTTGAGCTGTGAGCACGGAAATAACATCATAATATATGGTAGAAAACAAATCAACCATTTATATGGTTTGGTGAAGAAATGAGAGACGTATACTTTTGTTTTTAGTGAGTTTTGGATTTTGTCAAAAACGTTGTAAAGTGAGGATTTTGGGCGTTCAATACAGCAGGCCGAGGAGGCCTTTCTGATATTCAGATCTGATCTTCATGAATATCATATAAGATGCATATTCCAAGGGCTCAATTTTAGTATTATATGCGTTGATCTAGAATATCGTGTGATTAGAATGATTTCTGTTTTGAGATGGATTAATGTATTTTGACATGTGACACACACAGACTGCTCCGGAACTTAAAGTGGCTAAAAAAAGCAGAAAATAAGCGCGTGTTATAAATACCATCTAACACAAACTATGAAATTTGTATGGGCATGATGCACGTAATTGGATGCAATTTAACGAAGATCATAAACGGCAATTATTTCTTTCTGCATCAAGAAAAAACATCATAAATATCGATCAGAGTAGCCGAAATTTGTACAGTTTACTAGATCTGGCACTGAGATCGGGCATCAGCGTGGAGGTTATCAGTATCTTAAGCGATCGCAAACGAACTGGGAGGCGGAGCTGTGTCAGACTTTCTATTGTGAGGGCAAAATAAATCATTTGTTTTTTAGTGCTTTTGTCTGCAAAATATTTTAAGGGGTTTTTATGGTTTGTAGATAGTTTTATGATTGGGCTGTGTTGTGTGTGATTTGTGAGCTGTTTGATCGTGGAAGAGATTAATCGTTTGGGTGTTGTGTTTGTGTTTTCCCCTCCGTTTTCCCCGGTTTTTAAAACATTTGGGAGTGTGATTCAAGATAACATATTTAAAATAATGAAATAAAATCATATATGAAGACAAAAATATTATCTCCATAATTATCAGCTATGTCTTCTACCCTTTAATATTGGCGTTGATCTGTCTAAATTCTCATGGTGATATATATGTGAAAGGTGCTTTACAAGGTTCTGAATGTTCAAACAAGATAAAGCGGGCGGATGCATTTGGGTGAAGTCTATATCTAACAATATTATATTCCTGGACCTTGAATTCAATAAGATTTAAACTCTGTATAAGTTGACCGAGAATTACGGCCATTACTCAGAGGTAGAGGGGAAATGGATCAAGAGTACTTCCTCTATAGAGTGGATAGAAATAGTTTAAGATGTACAAATAGATTAAGGCTGCAGAAGTGGGTGCATCTCTATTCGCACCGGTAAAGTGCGGAATACATCCCGGCACAGTATCACCACCGAGGTTTAAATTGCTACATTAGTTTACCTTGTGAGCCATAGAAGACATACAACTGACTGCTAACTCATTATTGTGATGCATGTCAAGTAGTTCATTGTAAGTGTTACTAAGCTCTTTGTCAAAAATATATCTATTGCTGGTAATTTTTGTTCTGTGATAGCCTGGAACAGAAGGGAGCAACAGATTTTTGGTATATAATGTTGGATTGCTCCTCATCTGGTATAGAGTGCATCAGTAGAAAGACATTCTTGTGCCTCGGAATATATATTCTTTTAGACAATGTTATAATGTTCTCAATTGCCACTAATAGCTCCAGTTAAGTCTGTACATAGAGGGGTGGGGGGAATCGCATGAAATTGGGTAAATTTTGAGGTACAAGAGTAAATATAAGTTAGGTCCAGAGATCGCAGTCACTATTTGTTTACATGCCACCGGTCACTTGTCCATTGGAGTGCTTGGCCGTCTTCCCTGAACGCCCCACCAGGAAAACAAAGAATCCTCCCAATGAATTCATGGGCAAGGTAGAGAATTTCGGACAGATGGCAAGCTGCTGCCCGCATGGCAGGTGTACACTCGTACCTACTGTGAATATGTGGAGGATTCTTTGTTTACTTTGGGGCGGGGTTGGGGGCACAGCGCCCTGGATTAGACAACATGGTGACTGATTATGTGTACTATTTATATTTATCCCACAATTTCCTTTGTAACTTTCATGCCCTTCCCTGCTATTGGAGACAAGAATGTAGGGGTTTGGAGGGTTTCCACACAATAGTTTCTGTATATTTGATAACTAGATAGTGAGAGGAATCCAATGATACCAAAATCATTTTGATCCATTATGCGGAGGTATTAGAAAAAATTACCATTTTGCAAATTATCAGTGTCTGCTGTGCCACATTTCTGACATCTTTTATCAATGTTATTTTACTTTCTTTACATGTCTTGAAATTTATCTGTACAATTCTTTTAAGTAATCTTTTGCGCATGCATGTTTTCACCAATGGGAAGTTTGACAGGCTGATACAGGCCATTCCGTGACAACCAATGAAAAATGTTTAGTTTTTCATTGTTGCAGCCATTCTGGGTTATTCTTAAGACTTTAGTAACCATCATAATTTCAATATCTGAGCCCATCATGTACTGCAAGTGCTCCTGGTTGGAAAATATGCTGTTTTTCGTGGATGCGTCGTAGCGAGCTATGACAATGTATGGGCTGCAACCTGAGAGCAAAGGGCATATATGGTGGAAGCAACAGCGATAATTTTTCACTTTTGATAATGATATTCTGATGTGACTATAAAGTGATTGTTATTCAGGTTTGTTATTAAATGTGGGTGGACTTTACTTTGTTTTGTTGTGTTGTGTTAGAATTCTAATATCTGCGAGAAAAAAAGTAGATGCTAACAAAAATGATTGTAGTTGTGACTCAAGATCAATGTCACTGTGAGCATTTGTATTTTCCAACCTGGCAAGTGCTGAAAAATGTGATGAAAAACAAAGCAATCCAAACAGTCAAAAAAAAAGCATACAAAAGTTTGGTGATTCCAGATATAAAGAATTTGAGGATTCTCGTAAGAAAGAGATTTTTGTGATATTTTTTTCTATACGTACACTGGTATCGTTTGGTTTATTTTTTTACAGTATGGAGGCAGCTAAATCTTGTCATACATACTGAGGTGAAGAGAATGTTTTATCAACCCTTCCATCGGGCAGTGCCCAAAGAACAACTTAGATGAATAAAGTTTGTGATATGGACTTAGGTATGTTTATTGGTCACAATGTTTTGGACAATTACTACTGGGGGTTTGAATGGTGTGAATTCCCGTAGATTTTACTGAAATATGGATTGAATTTTGACATGTCGCTCCGTCAAATTTCAAAGATGGCGGTCATGTTTGTAGAGTTTCTTTAGCTGATTTTAAGCATTTTTTGTACTGGTTTTATGCATTTCTGTGTTGTTTTTATTTAAACCTATTTGACCCTTTAATTTCTCTGATTTACTTTATGCCATCCCCTGCTATTTGGACTATCAAAAATTGTTGATGGAAGTGGTACTCGGATCTCATCAACGATTTATCCGCACACCAAGCAATCCAAGAATCATTGAAATCATTGGTTATCCTGTGGAAAAACATTAAATTTTTGTTTGACTTAGGAGGGTGCATCGCTCTCGATAACAATTACCGACAAGAAATAGTTTGGTCTGAATTCTGATATGGTGATGAATTAATACCATTTACGAGAAAGGTTGACAAGTTCTATATCGCTAGATTATATCTGGTGTGTTGGCCTTTGCTGAATTTCCAACAGATAAAAGCCTACTTCCATTGCATGCCTTTTCATACCACTATATTGACAAAGGGCTTTAGTGATTTTACAGAATATCTTCTCATATCCATTACATGAGTCATTGCACAAAATCATGCCACCCAGCATGTTTAGGTAAAAAAGTAAAGTATTTTATTGGTTTCATTAGCTATAAGGCCTTTGGTATAAAAATATTGTGGGAAACTATTTAACAAGAGCAAATAATTTCAGTGGAAGATGCGGCAGGAGCTGAGACATAAGAATATTGTATTTCAGGTTGAATATTCTGCATAGTGTTTTGTTCATTATGGTACCTACTTTTATGATTATTATTTTTTTATTTGTAGTAGGCCTTGTAGTAGTAGCAATAGTGCTTCTACATCTACATTGGCATTGACAAAATTTTGTGTAAATTATTTATCATTTGGAGATCTGTATCATAGCACTAGTTCTAACCCTCAACACCTTTCTTTTTTCTCCCTCATGTCTGTTGTTGAAATATATTTATACAATATTTAACTAGACAAGAAGTAAAAATTCAATTATTTTCAATATATTCAGTTTAATAAATTAGCTAGATTTATTCCAAGATCAGGGAAGGTAGTCTCGGCTAGGAAACCATTCATTATGGACTAGTTACGGATTTGATGGATATTTGGGGTGATGTGCACTCCTTTTGAAACAGTTACAACAGGGAAAGATGAAGTAGCAGTAAGGTTGGCTTGATTATGAGAAAATGAATATGGAAAGAATGAAATGACTCATATGTGGTTACTATTTATTGCAATTTTGGAGAGAATGATATAGGATATATACATGAGACTCACATTTCTCTTTCATGTTGCTCATTTATTGCAAGAGAACTTTATTTTGATAGATGAGGATGAAATGTTCATGAACTAGAATGCTTACAAATGACTCATTCACAAAAAGTTTTTTTTTTAATTTATAGTTATCTATAAGTATGATATATATGTGCGAGCAGATGT